CCGGTGCGGGCGCGCCACTGAGGGTTGCGATCCGTTGCCGGGCACAAAAAAAAAAAAAAAAAAAAAAAAAAAAAAAAGGAGTCAGCAAAGAATTAGCTAAGTCCATTTTCTCATTTTTAGAATGCAGACTTTGGAACCTTCCTAGAAAACTCAGACAACTCTTCCTAATATATTAAGTCTCAGTTCAGGCATTTTCCTTGAGGATTCTGATTCACTGGGTTTGGGGTAAAGTATACTCATTTTTTTTTTTTTAAATTAAACAAGTGATTCTGATACATATCCAAGGCTCGGAATCACTCTCCTAATGCCTAGCTAGAATTTCTGATAATCATGTTGAAGTTCTTTTTCTGTTTGCTTGTTTGTTTTTGGTGCATGTGCATGTACAGAACAACATCCAGCTTCATTACCATCCAAACCAAGCTTCTCACAGTTCTATTCCCACTTCTTTATATGCTTGAAGGTTATGATTACATCTCTCCCCTCAGGCTCTTTCTGTCTTGACCAACTGATTTGAATAACTTTTATTATATTTATCTAAAACTTTACAGTCTACAAAGACTTTTTTCTCATGGATAATTTTATTTGAATCTCACCAAGTAATGATGAGATGGGTGTAGTTATATTGAACTATTTTTCTGATGCAAAAATGTGATATGCTCAAAGGTCATGCAGCTATTATCCTCTCTTTTATGCTCTTTCCAATTGTTAATCTTGAAATATTCTGATTTCTTTCTTCCAAAATATAAAAATTCTACCAAAGATGGAATATCCATGACTTTTCTTGGTTTATTGGACCAGATAGCAACTCCCTGGGCATGGCTGCTAAGTGTCTGATTCTCTTGGGGTCTGCTGATGATGACTTTCTTCTACCTTTGGCCATGGACGCCCTCCCTGGTCAGTGAGTTCTTCTTGATAGACATGGATTGTGTGAGGTCATAGAAACTCTTACCTGTGAGCCTTTGAACTTTCCACTGAGGGCAGGGAATAGGAAGGAGAGTACATAGCCTGATTGACCTCTGTCTTTGGGGGTGGGTTCTCAGAGGCAACCAATGCCTGTGTGGAGTATATTCCAGAGGAGGGGAAAGGACACTGTGAGAATGGGCTTGAATCTCCAGAACTCTTTGAATGTAGGACAGGAGAGAGGGGCTCAGATTAGAGAAGTGAGAGGAGTGACCCAGATGAATAGCCTGCCATTCCTTCTGACCCATTCCACTCATTTTCCTGAGATAGTTAAGGTTTATTTTAAGGTTACTAGGCAGGAATATTTTGCAGAAGAGAGGGTCTCCTTGCTGCTTGGAGGGACCTCTACCATCAGTCTAAAAACACTTTACCTAAATTAAAGCTTTCAATCCATAAATAGTGACTGAAGGCTGAGAGGCGGAATCCACAGAGCTCACCCATTAGCATGAATGCATTTCAAGGCATAAATGAGGCCATATCAAAATCTTTCCTCTTCTAGAGTGCTGGAATGCACAGGGTGTCTAGAGGAGGTGTTCCAGGGTGAGGGTTAGCAAAGAGTGGTGGTGGTGGGAGAAGTGGGGGGACTGAAGGTTCATTGGGCAGCTTGAAACTGACATGATGACATGAGTTCTTATGGAACAGTCTCTTAGGACCACATTTTTGTTGAGGGGGGAGGGTCTGTGTTCTCTACTCTGTGAGCTCTTTTTCTCCTTATTTGAGCCAACGTTTACCACACTTCTCTGGGTATTTCTTCTAAGGTCTGTTGGAATATCTTCATGGGCTAAGAGAGGAATGTTGGATTGGAGACTCTCCCGGTAAAAGGGAGAGCAAAAATTTTGCCCTTGAATATTTACCTTGGTCCTTTAAGAAATTCTTTCTACCCCTCTACGACCTGAGTGGGATAACTCAAGGTGCTCTGCAGTGACATTCAGGATTTCTTCCTCAGGATAGAATTTTTGTGAAAAATCTTTAAATACACACAATACAATTCAATAAACATTACTTAATATACCTTTAGACTGTAGCATTTTTGTTTTTTTAAAAAACATTTTTGTAGATACTTTTGATGGTGTCCTCAGTATTCTTTCTTTAAGAGATTCAACCCACATTTATTGAGTACCTACTATGGGCTGGGATCCATGCTTAGTTCTGAGGATTTTACTGCAACAAAGGACCTTTCAGTCCAGTGGATGAAGCAAACACCTAAGTTTCTCCATTGAACACCCAAAGTGTGTTTGTTGGAGTGGAGCATTTACATGCTTAAATTCAAAAAGTCACATACATTCAGATGCTGGCATTTTCCTTTTGATGGAGCAGGCACGTCACATTAGATAAAATCCCACAACAATTAGTTGTTTGGCTCTTCTTCTTCCTGTATTAGGTGCAATTTGCCTTGGTATCTCCAGACACCTAGAACTTTCCTGTCCCATTTTGTAGCCATCTTATTTTTGATTAGTAAAAATGAAAAGTCAGGGGAGTATTATTCTAATCTACAGTGCCAGGGTGACCTATTGATTCATCATGTTACAGCACATTTGTTGAGTTAATGAACATTTTAATTTACGTCTGCACAGAATCAAAGCAATTCAAGGGTTAGTTAGCAAAACCCATTTTTTAATAGGAACATAGAAAACTGTGTAAGATGGAGAAGATCTTTGGCTACTGATAGGTTCTTATAGCATCATGTTAATAATGCTTATAAGTGCTTCAGTGAAAGTTAATGAGTGTTGGCAGCACAGAAATTAGGAGGTCAAATTCCTACTTGAAGAAATGAAGGATTATTCTAAATTTCAACAACACAGGCATTTGTGGAAGCAGACAAATCCCTGCCACTTACAGTGTTTTGGGGGTTTAACAGCAGTAAGGGCTTATTTTTATCTGAGTGGAGGAGCTGGGTTTTGGAAGGGAAGGAAGTGATGACCCCTTGTGCCAGCATGCCCTTCTCCCTGTTCTTCTCTTCCAGGCTTCCCGGAGGATGCTGGATGATGAAATGACAGTCAGCCTTTCTCTGCCAAGCGAGTCCAGCATGTTCAACAATAACCGCTCTTCATCACCAAGTGAACAGGAGTCCAACTCGACTTATGATCGCATTTTTCCGCTTCGCCCTGATTACCAGGAGCCATCCAGGCTGATACGAAAACTCCCAGAATTTGCTCCAGCAGAGGAGGAGTCAGGTGAGGATGAACTAGTGGGCAGGGGATTGAGGGAGAAGGTGTGACAAATATTATGCAGGTATAATACTCTTGCTCCCAGTTACCCAGATCTGTTTTTAGTCTCCTTTACCTACTGAGAAGTCCACATTCTCTTTTTAGATTTGATCTGCAGCTGCTCCTAGCCTAATCTGAGCACCTCTCCTTTGCTACTGAACATAAGATATTTGGAGGGACCTACATGTCAGAACATGAAGAAAAAAATCAAAGGTGTTACTAAGGTGTTAATACCAGAAGAACCTAAACAGCCCAATGAGTCTAATCTCCTCATTTTACATATAAGGAAAGTGAGAATATCCAGATAGTGTACTCATCCAACACCAAACTTCATTAGTAGTAAATTCGGGACTATAATTTCACCTGGAGGAAAAAAAAAAAAAAAAAGAACCTAAAGACATTCTGAAATTCCTGGTTTTGTAGCCGTCTAGATAATTGAGTTATCTAATTTTCCTTGATTTTTTTTTTTGAAAAATTAATCAGAATAACACAAGATTTTATTATGAGTAAATATTTCTTGCCTTTTCTCAATAAAAGCAGTAAAACAGGTAAAATAATGACACAACTCAAATCCCAATGTCTTTTGAAAAGTGCTGTAGAGTGACAACAGAAGGGATGCTGGGGTCATCTCTCTAGCTCAGAGCAGGTTTTTCATAAAGTCATCAACCTAAGAGTGACCCAAGTCAGCAGAAGAGGACTCGTGGTGTTTAGCAGAGAGGAGCTCAGCTTGAGTAGGGTATAGAAGTAAACAGGACTACATAAGAGAGCATAGACTTTTCAAGCAATGAGCCTGAAGGGGTCTTTTCAAAGGAAGGGAGGAAACTAACATCTATCTATTTTATCACTCAATGGATAGAAAACATTGAAGGACACTTGGACTCAGGTAATTTTAGAGACAGCAAAAATAAAGGATATAAGCTAATTTGTTTCCTAGACTGAACCAAAGTAATTTACCTATTTTCTGAAGTCTAAAACATCTCCCCCCTCATATTTTGACTTTTTTTTTAAAGTTAAGATGTATCTTAAACTAGATCCTATAAATTTAATATGAAAGTTTTTAAATCCCTAAACTAGGTTGTTAAATCAATGGCAGTGTCTTAAAATCAAGAAAATATGCCATCAAATCTTCAACCTTTAATACTCCCATCCTGATATAGCATGACCCTTTGCACAGCGTGGCCACACAAGTTCACAAGATTAGCCAACGAAGTTAATGATCCTGTGTCATGAGGAGAATGAGAGATAAAATTGTGGCCTACATTTTGAAGGCTGCAAGAAAGAGTCTCTAGAGGAAGCAAAACCACTCTCCAAGTAAGAATGTCAAAGAGTAGTGTAGGCTGTCATAGAGCATGTTCTAGTCCTCCTGTCAGATTTTTTTCTTTGAAGCGATCTCCAACAATGCCCCTTGGAACGAGACTCATTGCCCCATCTTCCCAGGCTGCAGCGGCATTGTGAAGCCAGTCCAGCCCAGTGGACCTGAGGGAGTGCCCCACTATGCAGAGGCTGACATAGTGAATCTCCAGGGAGTGACAGGAGGCAACACCTACTCCGTGCCTGCTGTAACCATGGACCTGCTCTCAGGAAAAGATGTGGCCGTGGAAGAATTCCCCAGGAAACTCTTAACATTCAAGGAGAAGCTGGGGGAAGGCCAGTTTGGGGAGGTGAGTTGGTCTTTTATGGGTAGGGCCTTTAGTCTTTGGTGACTTGAAGGAAATGGTTGGATAAAAATGGTCAGTTGAACAAGCGTCCCTTCCAAAAGTAGATTCATAATCAAATATCTCCTCCACGTGTCTTTCTGTGCATTGTTCTCTGGAAGACTAACATTGGGTCAATCTCATCTTTGTCAAATAGCTGTGAAGGTCTTGAGACTTCTAATTTCAATACAGGAGTGTTTAAGGCAGACAAGCCACTTGACTTCAGATATCCTGAGAAACATTCAACATTTTCAAAAAAATTTTTAATAGGTTACAGAGGGTGGGACCCACAAGATGTGATCATCTTTCACGAACTCTCCAAGAACACCCTGCTGCTTGATAGCCACTTTGTTTTTTTCTTTTTAATGGAAGTTATACGTAAAATGGTCAAAAACAACCTCGCCCCTGCCTTTGGTCCCAGAATTAGCCACTAGGGAATGAATCACCCACTAAGATAAGGAGGAGTACTCTTCTCAAGTGCCCTCAGACTGATGCATGTTATATTGAACTTTTGCTCTTACATCAGTCACATGAACCTTCTGAGAACTCAAAGTAATATATTTTTTGTTTTTTCCTTTTTGTCTTTTTTTTACTGACCGGTAATGGGATCGCAACCCTCGGTGTTGCACCCACACCACGCTCAGCCAGTGAGCGGGAACCGGTCTCCACATGGGATCCGAACCCTCGGCGGGAGCGCCGCCGCGCTCTCAAGCGGTGCACTCTCCAGTGCGCCACCGGGCCAGCCCTCAAAGTAATATTTAAAGTCATAATAGAAGCTCTTCAACACTGCCATCTAAACTCCAAATACAATACTTGGTTTCATAAGCATGTGTTATTTGTTTTCAGTGTGGGTTGCATGTTCTCCCCTTGGGTAGGTTTGGCTTGGAGGAGGTAGAGGTGCCTGGGCATCTGTTTGTGGTGTTATATGTACTCATTTTGTCCCCTGGGTAGAAAATCCATGCTCATTATACTGGCACTAATACACAGAAGTTACTTATAATGCTAAACTCCATACTAAAGTACTCCCTTAGGAAATGCCTCATGTTTTGTATGATGCAGTAACTGAACTTTCTTAAATCAAATATTTTATAGTGGGCTGTGCTGTAATAGAATACTATATTATGAATTTATTCATTCACTTATTCAGTGTTCTAATCAATGTATATTTCTTTTATAAAGTAGTAACATCATATTAGCTGGGTACTTTACCACTGTTTTTAATTTTATTATTTGAATCAAAGATATGTTACACATATCTTCTTATGGGTCTTCTGATCATTTTGCCTGAGTTGTAAGAGTTAGTTTATCTCCAGGAAATGCCCAGCAAGAGTACTGAGACATCTTCAGGAGAAATGATGATGCTGAGACTAGATGACTTTTGTCTAGGTTCATCTCTGTGAAGTGGATGGGATGGAAAAATTCAAAGACAAAGATTTTGCCTTAGATGTCAGTGCCAACCAGCCTGTCCTAGTGGCTGTGAAAATGCTCCGAGCAGATGCCAACAAGAATGCCAGGTTGGTAGTCTGCATTTAAAATTTAACTTTATTTATTTCATCTTTAGGACTGGGAATACTCTTGAAAACTTCTCAGCAATTTTTTCTTTTGAGATGGGAAGGTCTATGAGCTGTCTCACATTTCCATTATGCTTTACTTTTCTGATGGATTCAGCAGTCCTCATCTTTTTCTCTAACTCTTTCAAACACAAATGTACCTTTTCCATTGTATTTACCACATATTTACTTCCTAAGTCCCTTTGCACAGCACTGTACTTCCAAATATAAACAGCAGTCTAGATGTGTGCTTCTCCCACCATTACACACAGACATACTCCCGAACGTCATTACCTTCTCCTGGCAAACTTTTCCACAATCACACATGTCTTTCTTGCTAAGCCTCTTCCATTCTCCCTTTTTCACATCTCTATTTACTTTCTCATCCCTTTTTTTTTCTCTTTTATGCTCCTTTTCTTCTATGTCCAGCAACCCCCAAAATGAGAAGCTACCTCTACTTGGAAAAGTATCCATGGACCTCAAAGCAAAAGGATCCACAGTCCTTTAACAGTTTTCCAAACTGGCTAATAATCTCTTGGATCCTTTACTATATAATCACAGTTTCCAGCCATACTACGTTGTCTGACGGCCTTTCCATTACAGTAATGGTGAGTTAATCCTCACCCAGAGAGGCATGCTGGTTGAAAGCTGGTTGTGTGTGTCCCAGAGAAATCTGCATACCTGAATAACATGCATCTTCCCATTTGTGTTGTCTTGACTTGTCTCACTGATACTTATAGTAAAAGAAAGTTTATTATTCCTATTCCCTAAATTATTGTAAATTCCAAGAATGGTGGTAGGTTTCATTAAAAGTCTTGCAATTGACAGGATGTGGAATGAAGAAGAGAGAAAGATGAGGGGATAGAACTGCAGAGGTTTTAGAATTTTATCTGAGAATTTAAATCTTAAGGATATTAGTATGAATGAAAAGTGATGTTCCCTGGGTCCCATAGATAGATAGAGCATTCCTCATATTAATCTTAGCACATGATTGAAAGAAAGTGGCACAGAAGAAAAAACCCATAGGCTAGGACAAAGCCTTTAGCCATTATTTTGTTTGGTGAGGTTTACTGTGCCTCTGCCTGTGCCCACTCCCTTTTAATACTGATGGATGGCATAGACTCTGGACCCTCTCAAGCTGTGGAATCACCTAGGTAATAAAAAAAGCAGGTGTTGCATCAAGACTATGTTGATTCCAAGGGTTTTATATTGATATAGTATGACTTCTAGTCCAGGATTCCTAGAAAACTCACTGGTGACTTATTACTGTTCTGCTCCAGTTGTTTTAGAAATATGGGCTAGTGGCCTAATTATTGCTACTTTTTGACTCAAGGGTGGCTGTCACCATGTACCAAATAATGATTAGTTCTTGGCCAAGTGAGTACTCCTTTTGCAGTGACTCCACTTTACCACCATGGACTTTAAACAGGTCTGTTTTGAACAGTCTACTAAATGCATGTTGTCACCAACTACGGTGCATAGTGTACTAAGAAAAGCCAGTATAAGAAAATAATTATCAGATAAGCCAGAGTGTGGTTATTCAGTTTATAAAAAGTTCCTTAACTTCATTAATAGAGTGGTTCCCTGACTTTTAAAAAAGGTAAATACCCTAGTGCATTGCAGATATGATTTTCATTGAAACGTTTCTTTTCGTAGAGTAGTTTGTAGCAGCATATATCTGATTTAGGAAATACTATTCTCTTTCTATGTGGCAGGCATTTTTTAAGATACCAGGGATGTAAATGTGAATAAATAATGGGTCCTGTTCTCAAAAACATTACAGTTAGAATAAGGGTCCATTGTATTCCAGGAGGAGTAGAATGAGACAATTCCAGGTGCCAATTTCTCTGTCCTCTCAATGATTATCTAAAGGGAAACAAGACTTGGTGTAATGGTAGGAATAGACTTTGCTGTGCATTCTTACTCCTCTTGATTCTGACTGGCAACCCTTGGGTTTCTCCATGTCTATGTCTTCCCAAGGAATGATTTTCTTAAGGAGATAAAGATCATGTCTCGGCTCAAGGACCCAAACATCATTCGTCTCTTAGCTGTGTGTATCACTGACGACCCTCTCTGCATGATCACTGAGTACATGGAGAATGGAGATCTCAATCAGTTTCTTTCCCGGCATGAGCCGCCCAATTCTTCTTCTGGCAATGTACTCACGGTCAGGTAAATAACGCAGGTCCTCTGTCTCTTCCCTGTGGTCATGAAAGTAACTTGGGATTTCAAAATGGGGAGTAGTGAACCTTAAAGTTCATTGTTGTTCTGGGATGGTGGGGCAGTTGGTGTATTATTCCAGGGACTAATGGAGCAGCTGCCTTTTGGGGTAATGCAAAGGGATTCATTGAAAATAGAGAAGAGATGTTGAGGTATAAGCCCTGATTTGTATATATCAACTTTAGATTGTGTACCCTTTCGTGGCTTATTTCCATAGGTTACTTTTTTTCTTCTTGTGTATTTCCTCAGTTATAACAACCTGAAGTTTATGGCTACCCAGATTGCCTCTGGCATGAAGTACCTTTCTTCTCTTAATTTTGTCCATCGAGATCTGGCCACAAGAAACTGCTTAGTAGGTAAGAACTACACCATCAAGATAGCTGACTTTGGAATGAGCAGAAACCTGTACAGCGGTGACTACTACCGGATCCAGGGCCGGGCTGTGCTTCCTATCCGCTGGATGTCTTGGGAGAGCATCTTGCTGGTGAGTTCTGGGCATTTTTCAGCCCTACCCTGGCAACTGACAAGTAGGCAGGCACACATGGCAGGAAGGGACAAACCTGAGACAGCAGGAGGCAAACTCAACAGACCTTGATATTTTCTGTGACTTGAGATGATTTTCTTTGTGTAGTAATTATTATTTTTTAACATGCCTATTTCTGTTGAAAAAGCAACATGCTCACTAAAGAAAATTTAGGGAAAAAGTTAAAAATTAGAATAAGGGATTTAGTATAATTTTTTTTCTCTATCCTCTCTATCTGCTGATTGGTCTTAATTAATTTAGGGTATTAAAAACCTTATCATTTAAAGAAATGTATCCACACAAAATATTTTTTATGTTAATTTCATAACATGTTTCTCTTAGTTATTTAGACTGATCTCCACATTTTTATTTAAATAATTGTCACTATTTACTTTTTATTTTAAGTTTGTTCTTTGCTTTATAATTTTTATTTAATTTTTGGTATTGTGCACCATGAATGACTAATTTTTTCCAAATATTTCTCTTGGAGGTGCGTTTTCTGACCATGCATATCTGAGACTTTTATTGTTGATTTTACAATGATTTAGCTGATTTACAGAATTATTAAACTACAAACTTTTACCCCTACAATGCTGTATACATGTCATTTTGTCTTTTGTCTTCTGTAATATTGCAGAAAAAAGCCTGAGGCCAATTTGGTTTTGTTCATTTATAGTTCATATGCTTATTCTCTGCTCTTATTCTTAGAGGATTCATAAATTAATTTTGAAATGAAAAAAATGTATAGTTATTCCCTTTTCCTCACCAAGATAACCACAATTCATGTTTTGGTGTATTTCCTTTGAGAATTTTTTCTTTCTATGAATATAATTTTTCTATGCATGTATTTCTGTGTATTTATATATATATACACACACATCATATATATTTAATATTTATAGTTTGTATTAAATAATTGGGATGATACTATGCCGTACAATTCTCTGTCTTTATTTTCTACTTTACATTTTATCATTGGCCTTTCCCTGTCATTAAATATTTTTTAAAAACATCATTTTAATGGCTGCATAATAATCATTGGATGTATCCTATAGTTTAATAATATCTTTATAATTTGGTATTTAAGTACTTTTCAATTTTCTGCTATTATGAATGATTCTGTGACAAATACCAGTTTACATAAATCCTTATAAAGATTTTTTCATCAGTATATGTGAATCATTACATTTTACCCATTTTTAATATGGTAATTAAGCATTGCTTTCTCTAAAGGTATTGCATCATACTGAAAACAACATGTTAGACTGAGATGCAGAAGACCTTGGCTTAAATCCCATTTTTCCATTACTAATGGTCTTATTTACCAGGGAAATTTGGTAAAACTCTCCTGTCTCATTTTTCTGATCTAAAAATAAGGATATCACAGTGTCATTATCTTTATTGAATAGAAAAAAATGTATAAGTATTTAATGCATGCTAATTACACCCAAATCTCACTGCTGTCACTTGTTAAAGTCTGTCAAGACTGCGACCTACCGCCACCTAGATTCACACAGAAACTTACTCCACTAACTCAAAACAGATTCCTCCCTCTCTAACACGAAAACAATTGACTTCCCATTCTAATTATTCCTTTCCCAGGGGCATTTTCCCAAGGCTACCCTACAACCAAATGGGGCTGACCTTCTAACACTCAGAGAGTTGGAGAGTCAGATAGCTTATGGCTGCATTCCTTTCAGTTCTTGAATCTCATTTCCAAGAGAAACAGAACTAAGCTGTGATCCTGAGGATAAGGGAATGGACTGTCTCTTGACTTCATGTTGTCATTCCTAGATCCTCCATGAATATCTTGGCAATTTCAGCATTCCTTGACTTTGGTTGGGGAAGGGGGATAACTTCAGATAATGCAACTCTAAACTATTCTTGTCATGCATAGGTTATTCTGATTTTCCCTTCTTTTCCTTACTGAAATAGGGCAAATTCACTACAGCAAGTGATGTGTGGGCCTTTGGGGTGACTCTGTGGGAGACTTTCACCTTTTGCCAAGAGCAGCCCTACTCCCAGCTATCAGATGAACAGGTTATCGAGAATACTGGAGAGTTCTTCCGAGACCAGGGGAGGCAGGTAAGAACTGTTGGGGAGGGATGGATGTGAACTTGAGCACTCTTGAAGGAGGGAGAAAGGAAAGTGCTGACTTAGCAGAATAGGCCTGAACTATTGATGGGCTTTCTGGATAATAATCTTTTGTCACTAACCACCCTGATGATGTGAAAAAACAAAGGTCCTCCCCAGGCATCCACACCCTCTGCTTTACCCATGTGTTAACTCATTGAATCTTGGAGAGCTTGAAGGGTCATATCAGGCTCCTCCCCAACTCAATGGAAGCGGGAAATGATTGATCTATTTCTTGATCTAGACTGTGTGATTTGTCTTCTGGTTGAAAAATATAAGTATAAAGGGGAATGAGGGACTTATTAGCATTTGTTAAAAATCTACTTTAGTATAAGAAATGATGGTTTAGACTATTTAGCAATGTTTCTAGACTTGTATGTCAGAAATGGGCAGGTCCATCCTGGACTTGCTGCTCCTGGAAGGTATCTCTAAGCCTAGTTAAGGTGGTCTCTCAGGACTCAGGGAAAGCTGGGTTCCCAAGCTCACAAGGAATCCCAGTTCCTGTCAAGATACCCAAGCTTTCTTTGGGTGGCTCAATTTTTAACATTCCTGTGAGGTCTAGTATTTAAAGCTCACTAGTAACTAGAGCACTGCACCTTCCCAAAGTGGCCTGGCTGCAGCACACCCTGGAATTATGGCATCTCCAGCAGTTGGTAAAGGCTCTTGCAGAAATAAAAAGTGCATCCTCTGTGGCTTAAATAGATCCTAGCAAGCAAAAGATAAGGAATGACAAGAGATAACACACTATCGAGAGTGAAAATAAGAGAGGGGTCCCGGAATTTAATTTTGTCTTGATACTCTGTTGATGTTTTGGTAGCAAGAGGGCTAAATTATCTATCTACCTTGGTTATGAGGCAGTTGCCTTTTTACTATAGCATGTGTGCATGAGATGAATGGACCAAGGAAAAATGTTTGTTTTTTCCTCCTGGACTAAGCCACCACAATGACCCATTGGAAGACACATGACCAGTCGAAGGTGGTGTGTTCAATTAGAAAATGTAATCTTCATCATCATAATGTTCCTTATTTGAGTATATTCTAAAATTATAGGCAAAGGTAGAAATATTGTAAGCCTTTTAGTCTCCCTCAACTTATTATTCAGTGACTGAAATTCTATGGGAATTTTTTTTTTTTGACACGAGGCAAAATTGTACCACCAGTCAACAAAAGCAAGGCATGCCCTCCCACCCACTTCAAGTCCATTGTCTGCTTTGCATAAATGTATTCTTGATAATGTATAGCTTTTTCACTTAGCACTAAAAAGTTACATATTAATTATTTCAGTGTTATGTTACTCAATTTCACAAAAAAATACTATTTTATCATTTGATGGAAGTTTTAATTTTAATAATTTCTAGGATTTTAGTTTTCTTATGTATTTTTAAATAATCAGTTTAAAGGGGTTCACCATTTCTACCTTCACTAGGTTCTAGTGGTGCAGCAAATATACTTTTTGACCAATTACCAAATGGTGAGTTGTAAAGACACATATTTGCCTGAAGGCAAGGCTATAGCCAAATCATACCGTTATATGCTGAGTAAACTTCTCACATAAGTGTAAATTTCTGATAACAATTCACTAAATTTAATGTATCAACTTATTAAACATACTTTATTAATTTTATATTTTATTACATTTTACATTTAAATTTAATTACTATTAAATTTATTTTCTGAATTTCAGTATTCAAATTTTAAAAGTTAGATTGCAGGGATAGTAACTTCTCAACATTATCAATTGCTAGATGGATTCTGTAGTCTTTAGATTACACATGTGTGATCTAATTCATTTCAAATGGCACAGCTAACTTATTGAACATAGAAAATATAATACAGAGGAAAAATTTTAATAGCATAAATTCTAAAGGAATTTTATACTTAGGATTCAAAGCTTAGACAAATCTGTTTTTGTTTTGTTTTGTTTTTTAGCTTAGGCAAATCTTAAATCCTTTGTCTTCAATTGAAAGTGCTTGGAAGTCTATAGCAATAATTTCAATAATTTAAAAATGTATTTGACATTTTTGCTTTCAATTTGTCTTCACAAGATGCGAAGAATTCCCAGATAGCACTTTTCTTGAAAGCTTATGGTCCAAATGGAATTAAATAAGCAAAAATTAAATACAGTTTTAAAAGTTTATTTTGTTTAATGTTATGAAAGGTAACAAAATTCTACATATGAAATATGAATTATTATGAAATATAACTTCAATTATTTGTCGAGTTTGTAAGATTTTGAAAAGGGAAACCTTAATCATTCAAGTTATTTATTATTTCAATTTTATTGATATCTGTTGGCTCAAAGTGGATATAATATTTTTTCTAAATTTATCTAGTGAACATCCTAGAGTTTTACATTCACCAGTAATTGTGAGAGTGTCTGTTATCCTGTACCCTTATTTATATTGACAATATTTCATTTTAAAATCTTGGTATTTTACAACCATAGTCATTTGTAACATACTGAGCTAAGGCTTGCCAGATATCATTAGATATTCCAATAGAAGTCACAGATATTTGCCTTTTTACTTGTGAATTAAGAGTTGATGGGCAGAGGAAATAAGCAGACTCTGGGTAAAGCCCAGCTCCTATGATGCACGATATAGGCTGGCATTGGTGTGGGAAAAAGCAGGGTAGGGGGAAGTGGTTAATGACTAACCAGCTGCAGATGTTGGACTCCACAAAGGCAATGGATGGTTCCATTGTTCAAAGAGCATGGGGAACTTAGGTATAATTCAATAATACGTCAATATACCAGGGTATTCGAAAACATAGGTGAGGAGATGACAGCAATAGATTATAGGCAGCAGAAGATGACCTGGGAGTCAACAGAATGGCATCTTGCTCATGGAAAATAGCCAGAAACTGGTGATTTGGGAGTAGAACCCTAGGGTAGAATTCAGGGCAGGGTTATAGACAAGGTAAATGCACAGATACCGGTGTATGCTATAAAGCAGAAGTCCAATCTCCTTTAGATGGGGCCAATAAAGGGGAGTGGGTACACAGAGACCACTATGGCTAGGAACTACATGGACACATCTTGCATCCCAGTTCCTGCACCTGGCTAAGATTTTATTCCTGTCGAGGAGCTCAGGCTACTAATTTCCATTTTGCCTCTGTTGTGATTGGCCCAGAAAAGATAAATCTTAACGTGGATGGGCCATAAACAGACGAGTTGATGTGTTTTTGCTTCAGTTTCATCCTTTGCATGAAGGTAAGGACCGCAGAATAGCCCATTAGGAAACCTGATCTGGAGAACTGGAGAAGACAAAGAAAATAGGAATGGGGCTAATCTGATTTAGAACTCTTATGAGTAGGAACATTAGACACCACACCCATTTCAGTTGTCAAGTTCAGGAAAGTGGGGAGGAGGCAAATCAAATCATGATGCAAAGACCCTTCCTTTTTCTCCCTCTTTTTAATATCTCTCTCCCCCCACCTTCTCTCTCTCTCTTTTTTTTTTTGGTTTATTTTTGTTTCCAAAGACTTACCTCCCTCAGCCAGCCATTTGCCCTGACTCTGTGTATAAGCTGATGCTCAGCTGCTGGAGAAGAGATACCAAGCACCGTCCCTCGTTCCAGGAAATCCACCTTCTGCTCCTTCAACAAGGGGATGAATGATGCCGTCAATGCCTGGCAACATTCCAGCGGCTGAGGTCCTCCCACAAGACCCACCACTCACCCATGCCTAAGCCACTCCATCTGGACATTTAATGGACCTGAGAAACAGAGGCTTGGTTGCTTTGCTTTTTCTCTGTCCCTTACCTTCCTCCACTCCACTCCCTACCCGACCCATATATACTTTTTTTTTTTTTACATTAAAGAACTAAAAAAGAAAAAAAAAAAAGCCTTGGGCAGATATAATCTAGTAAAAGAAATCTTGATATATTAAAGTGTTGGATAACAAGGGCTAGAAAATTCAGTTAATTTATAAAGGTTAAATATGCTTGTGTTTATAAATGTGCAGATTCTACAATATTTTTCCATGTCACTTTTTAAGCAACATCTTCAGAAAGAAAAACTTGAAGAATACTAATGTCTTGGGAGACATGAGATTAAGCTTAGGGTAAACACTTGGTAGATGTGGAGAATCTGAGGACTTGGTATTCAGCAATTAATCATAGATGGCTTTCTAATTTGGCCTCTGGATATGTCCCACTCTCTGTATTTCCCCCACCTGTCAAAGTGGATGAAACATTCTTGAAAATCCCAAGCTTCTTGGAATGAGTGTTTTGTTCATTCATGGACAGGGGTCAGGGTTAGAGACGATATATGAAACAAAGGGGGTGTGGATAGGAAAGAATGTCTACTGCAAGGCTGCATGAAGGTGAAGAGTCATTTATCAACAACAACAACAATAATAAGTAATTAAAGAACCTAATGCATGGAAGGATTCTTAAATAGATAATGGTTATAGGAAAGGAGGTTTACAGAGGACAGGGAACAGGTGTGTTATTCATCATTCATTTGTGATTTCTGCAGAGGGTCCTCTTATTTGTCTTGTTAGCTCATTTTAATGTGTGTGTTTTAGTTAGAGCCTGATTTTTTAAATCAGTAAAGACTGGTGTTTTGATATCTTGATGGTAGGCCCTTGGGTTCATCTCGTCCAAATCTTACAGTTCTTTCAATGGATGAAGACTATGTAATTTGTGGGCTGTGGGCTGAATTTCTTAAGCATAACTACCTAAAGGCCACATATAACAGGGAATAGATCTGTGCCTAGTGTCCCCAAAATGTTGACCTAGGACCAATGAGGGGAAGTTACAGGTATACTGATTTCCACTCCTTATTAGGGGAAACATAACAGTCAGAACACACTAGGGTGAGTGGGCTGTCTCCAGAGGTGGAGGGTCCTTTGTCTCTGAAGAGACTCAGCTATAGGCCGGAGAGCTATGTAAGTAAGATGGAGGTTTTCAAACACAAGATAGATGGTTGTGTTGGACGATATTTAATATCCTTCCACCCCCCAGCGTCCTTGATTCCAGAGAGGCACGGGATAGGCATCCTCCGCTACTGCTTAGTATATACTCTGTTGCCTCCCAGATAGTGTGACCAGCAGAAAAGAAAGCACAAGGCTCTGGTTACAGAATTCATGGAAACTGATACACTGTCAAGGACGAGTCCCCTCAGAGCAGGTGCTGAGCATTCATACTCCACAAATCCTCAGATTCAGTGGGAAGCTAAAAAAGGGAACCCTTAATTCCCATTGAGGAGGAACAAGAAAAGATTACAGAATAATCTTCTCAAGCTGAAGAAATGGCCTTGACCCTTTGAGTCTGCTTCTGTTGCCTTCACCAGTCTACATTCTACATAGTCTCTCAGGAACTTGAGTGTTTCCCCTGTTCAGCATTCAGCATTGCTACGGGCCACAGCATAAGCATATATTCCAAGTCTCCAAGATTCATTTTGCATCTCATCTCTTGACCCTAGCAAATGCCTTTCCCCATAGTTGTCCTATGACTCTAGGCTTTAGTCTCTCCTAGAACTAACTTTGGAGAAATCATTGGTTTGAGAGTCAGAAGAGTATTGGTTTAGGAGCTTTGATTCTCTTTGCTTGGGCAAATCACTTTGTCTCTCTGAATTTCGTTTCCTTATCTGTACAGTGAGGTTATTAGAATAGGTGGTCTTCAAGTCTCTTCCGGTTTTGATATGGCTGGTACTCTCTGGATAATTGGATCTGTAAGTGATGTGGATTTAGTAATCTGGTCATTTCCTACTCTGAAAATTGTGGTCAGCAAAAGAGATCATGGGAGAAGTCACTGTAATAGATAATAGTAACACCTGCCATTTTCACAGTGCTTTAAGGTTTACCAGGTATTTCTACACACATTGTCTCATTTGATATGTGTGGGGCCAGACATGTTCTCATATACCTTGGGACCTGCCACACTTTGCTTTCAAGATAAGTGTTAACCTCATTAGAATGAAAGGGACTTGAAATCAGGAGTGCAGCCTATTCTCCTTTATCCACACGCCTCAGGTAGGGCTACATCCAGACTATGCCGTGTCTTCTCATGTAGCAAGAGAAAATAATATTATTTCCCCTTCCTCTGCATAATATCTTTCCACTCATTTCTTTTTATGATTATTTCCCACTTCACTATTCTATCATCCCATATTTTAAAAAATGATGTTTGAAATGAACATATTATGTCTTGATTTTCCTGGCCTAGAGTCATAGAAGTAATCTGTTTCAGGTGGCTGCCAAACATGTATTGACAGGTACATCCTTTTCTGGGATGAGGAAAGCTTCATTTTCTGGCACTCAGACCTCTGTATTACAGACACAGGTTTAACTTCTAACCTAGTCATACCTATACAATTTAGTCACACACATCTCAGCAACCTAACAAAATACATGGTGAAAGCTTAGCATGTAGAATTTAAAAGTAGCTCATATTTAAATTGCAAGAATAAAGCTCGGACGTATTTGCAAAGAGAAATAAGAAAAATAATGAGAAACTGTGGGACCTTGTTACCTTTGCAGTAAGTTATTCTCTTCATGATATTTGTGAAGTATTTTATGTTCAGATTCTGTTTTGGAATAGTCAGATCTAAATCTATACTTTTGCTGGTTAATGTGCTGATAGCTAGCTCTATATCTTGATGTGCTGTCCAGACACATATGAGATCAGAAAAGATCTGGAGTGGAAAGAGACACCCAAGGGAAACTGTGGTTTTATTGCTGTGGGAAGATCACTCGTGAGTGTACAAGACTGTATAACAAAGAGGGCTGTATGCAAGTGGGTTTTTTAAAAAAAGGCTACATGAATGTGCTATAACTGAATGGGCAGGAGGGTGAGGGCTAGAAAGGAGGCTACATAAACAGAGGCCATGGAGAGTGCACAGAAAGACAAGGGAATGGTTAGGACAAGCAAGGTAGATATGGGTAGCTGGAGCTGTTGGAAATCCATTCTGAAGCAAAAAAGCAAATCTCTCTGAAGAGAGATCTGAGAGAGGATAGAAAAAGTAAGTGTCTTGAAGATAAAAGATAAATATAAGTATGGTTGGAGAAAGAAGAAACTCTGGATGACAGAGATTGTAAAAATATTTATTAAAAACCGAAAAGTCAGGTGCAGTGTGTGAAATGGAAGGGACTTTTTCAGAGTTTTAAGGAAGGGGAAGTCCTTTGTGGAAAAGATATAAGCAACCATTAGGAAATGACCTTTTTATTTTAGGGGGGGTGGGTGAGGAAGACAGTTTGAGCACCTGTGGATTCTAGACCACTTTAAGTGCTGGTGAGAAGAAATGAACTCTTTTCCTGAACTGGACTTGGTTTTCTAAGTGCTGCTTTGGAAATGAAGACCTAAAGATGATGGTTCATGAATCTTTTTGTTTCCTTCTCTTGCCTCTGTTGGTGGAATGCATTGTCAATAATGCTCATCACTGCTATGCCCAGAATGGCCACAGACAAACACTGAAGCAGTAGGCATAAGTTACTCAAGACTAAATCTCGCCTGATATCCACACAAACATGTATAGGCCATGTTGGAAACGTGTTTTTCTAGCCCCATGATGTGGGGCTAAGCCATATGTTTTAAGTCAAGTAGAACAGAAGAGGGAGAGTATCAGAAAGAAGGAAAGAAATGAAGATGTTTCAAGGAAATATACTAAAACATAGTAGCTTCTGTTTTGGGCAAAATTACAAAAAAATTAAGAAAATTACAGTATATGGCTATTAAGTCTTTGATCGTGAGTTGGATTTACAGACTTAGAATTTGAATGGCAAATCTTAGTCTTTTCTTTTCAGTAAGACCTCTGTCCTCTAGCTGTGTGTGTGGTAGGTCCCTAATGTTCCTGCACCTCTAGGATGATACAGATTGTGATCTTTGCGGGGAAATCCTTTTGAATTGAAATTCAATGTTTTTATAGAAACAGTTGGATGTATTTTGCACTTGGTAAAGTTTTTAGAGTGCTGAATTGAGAGGGAAAGAGACTGGGGTGGTTAATGGTGATTTGATTTCTGTTATTTTGAGTTCTTTGCTACAATTAACTGCATTGCTTGGTGGCAAAAGAGTGGAGGGTAATTGTTTAGTTACTGTATCCTTTTGGAAACTTTTCATTTTGAAATAATTTGAGACTCACAAGAAGTTGCAAAAATAGTACAGTCTGGCCTTACCCTAGATCCAGTTTTCCTCATTGACAACATTTTACACAGTCCATTTTCAACCACATTCCATTTTCAAAACCAGGAAATTGACATTGGTATAATACTATTAACTGAACTACAGATCTTGTTAGAATTTCACCAGTTTTCCACTAATTTAGTAGCTGGATACTTCTAATCCTTGCTGATGTATAATCTGGCCTGGCTTGGACAAGGAAGTTAAAGACTTTCTCTAGATAAAATTCTATAAAATTTGAAGGAATATAACAAATTAATCTGGTCTTTATCAATGAGCAATATCCTGCCTATGCTGCTTCCAAATTTTCTCATTCGTTTGGAAGTTTGGCACCTGAAGGATTAGGCAGCACAAAAGACAGAAAGACCTGTCCATAGCTTATTGTCTAGAGAACTATGTATACAAGAAAATTCTAGATGGTTCCTGTAGTTCCTACAAGTGAGTAAGATTTGTAGTGGTGAGAAGGAGAGAACTTTAAACCAGTATTTTGGTTGGGTGGCACTTAGTTAATGACACCAGGTATACGTTATGGAAGGAATATAATACAATGGAATAGACCCCTAATGTGTGATAAAACATTATTTTCAGAACAATGGAGAAGTTTCATTTGCCTAAATATCTATTCTTAAAAGAAATAACAACTACATTGGGCCAAATTAAATGCAAACATAGAAGCAACCTGGGAAGAAGTTAAAACTCCAATCTTGTGGAT